TTTGGTGAGAAACCTGCATGATCACCTTACTGTAAATGTTCATTTCTTTACTCACATTTTCATCAACGGTCTCAACTCGATCATTTTGAAAGTTATCTTGGTTAGACCTTGTCCACTTGGTCTCGGGCTCCTCACCATTATCTGAGGACCTCTTTAGTTCGGGACTAATAACCCTCTCTGCATCGTCAGGTGAATTCTTGAGTGCACGTGTGTTGTCATCGCTTGTTTCAGACTCATTTCTGTCTTTCTTTGAAAAAGTTAAAGGTCCAAACACCATCTGTGTGCGGCGCACTATCCAATCCCGAAGCGAGCGAAACCCACTGTATCCAACCGTGGTGCCAGCTCCATGCTCTCTGCTGTCAAACTCTTCTTCTTCTGGCCCTGGCAGCTTCCTCCCGGACTCCCGGCCTTCGTCAGCCTCATGTTGACCCTCACTGACATCCCCCTCTGCGTCTTCAGATAAACTTCTGAATGAATCTTCGTTTTCTGTGCTTGTTTTAGACTCATTTCTGTCTACTTTCCTGTCCAAAGTTGAGTACGGTGAAGCAGAGCTCTTGTTTCTAAACCACGCCATTATGTTTATCTCATAGTCTGTTTCACTTTCACTTTTCCCGTCCAAAGACAACTTCGCAGACAGAATACAGATATCATGTTCCCTTATAATTATATAAAAGGAGCACAGAAAAGAACATGCTAACTTTCTTTCTTCTTCTTCTTCTTATGCTTATATAGGCAGGATATACATGATTAATATTATAGCGTAACTATTATGTATTTGTCTGCAGATCAAAGGGAGACCAGTGTTTAGCACCGCCCACTGATGCAGGTCAGGGGCGTTTCCAGGATTTGTAAAATAAGGTGACACAGGGGTGAACAGAGCAGGGTGGCCACTGGCAGTGTTGGGGAGTAACGGAATACATGTACCGCCGTTACGTATTTAAAATACAAAATATGAGTGACTGTATTCTGTTACAGTTACCGTTTAAAAAGGTGGTATTCAGAATACAGTTACTTTGTTGAAATGAATGGATTACACTGGGGTCTTTTCCTGTTTCATATGTTAGGCTGTCCCCTCTCTCTTGTTGGTAATTCCATGCCGGTGGAAACCCAAACAAAGCACGCATTAAGAGCCTCTAATGCCTGTGTCTCAATCTAGCGGCCCATGTCACCCCTACTTGCGGCCACATAATGACGTGGAGAAATATTTTTTAAAAATGATTCTTCAAAAAATGTTTTAATATGAAAGCAATAGTCAAAGTGTTACAAGCATTG